TGGATATATAAATTATGCAAAAATAGAAAAGAGTGAACTTTGAGGTCATGATGTGCGACTTTGAAAGCCGTTAGAGAGATGAGTGGACGCATTGAATTAGTAGTATACCAAGGTATCCAGTGATGTAATTTTACCCACGAATGGACTTGAAGTTTTTAAGCTAATTTTTTTTAAACCACTTTTGTCCAAAAAAGCATATTTTTGACCCAAAATCAAAAACGCATTCTGGATATTTAAAATAAAGACAAGTTTTACAAAGTTTGTATAATAAGCTTTCAGAAAATATATAACATGTTGGATATATAATACCATCTTCATTGTCTAATTACTCAATTAAAAAGCAAGCCAAATAAACTGCATCTCTACCTTAAAACTGTTATTCTCCTCTCAGAATTGGTGTTTAATACTTACTAGTGCTTTTTTAAGAAATAAACTTTTAGTTTACAATGCAGTTCTACTCAAACATCAGCCAAATAAAACTTCGGGATGGCAATAGGAAAGAATTATCTGAACCACACATATTTTTGGAAATTATGATCGCAGGAATGTACTGTAAAACATGTTTTAAAATCGACTTGCAATTTTAGCGAATTGTGGTAAAATAACTAACGAAATGTTGATTTAGCGAATCTCTCTTGTCATTGTTAATTTCCTGTTTTCGCAATACTTGTTTGTCGCGTGCCAAAACAAATGTGCAGTTATCACCTCCATAAAAATAAAGAAAAACTGTCAAGTGTAATTGGGAAGCGCCCCAGATTTTTATGTTCCGGATTACTGTATACAAATCCCCAAGCCTTGGCCATTTTGAATTTATAATAAAGTCGTTAGCGACATCTTGAATCAGCGAATCAGTTCTCTCGCTAAAATAACATGCTCGTGAAAAAGACATGTTTTACAGTACATGCATGTTCTGTATCAATTCAGTCTCATGAAGAAAACTTACCTTTACTGCTCTTTTTCTTTGCCTGTTGCTTGCTTTTATTTCTCCGACAGCATTATATAATTGTTTCACAAATTTGGGTGCGGATTCATCTAAAAAAGGCTTTAAATTATCTGTAAAATATGATAAAGAAAAACACATTGAGTTCCCATACGTTTATCAGCCTGAACATAACGATTCTCCAAATTCAGTGTTCACTTTCAGTTTGTACACGTATCCTGGAGAGAAGTGTGAATTAGAAGTTATTTTTAAAATTAAAATGTTTTAAGCGTCATAATAAAAAAATAATATTGTAAACTTGGCGAGCCACACTTTGAGACCAACTGCACAGTTTTAGTAGTGTAAAGTCTATAATGGTGAATTTACTGTAGACCAGGGTTTGATTATAATAACATGTATGTGTTCTGTGTCCAAATAAAATATGGTATGCAAGCTGAAGGTAAGATACGTGTAAAAGGGGTGCTATTTAGTTATTTTTCACGTATAAGTATTTACCATGTTTAGGGTTGAATATTTTAAAAGCTATACTACAGCATGGGTACCAAGTCCGACCATCCCTGGGTAACTAATCTACTAATTTCAGCCAATTTGCATCTACTCTAATAAGTACCAAGCTTGTTTTTTTCTGTTTAATAACATATTTTGAAGTGACGTGAAAAAAACAAGGCCTGGGATGAGATTTCGCACACTCGTTTACGGTTAATTTTATTCTGAGAAATATCATCCCAGTCTTTTGGGGTGTAGGAATCTATTGCCCCCCCCCCCCTCGGATTATTGCCTATTACCCTAGGCAAAAAAACGCCCTCTATGATCACAATCTTACTGCAAGATACAGTAACTCAGAACCTATATCGAAAAATGTAAACAACTTGCCAACTGTCTTCTGTTCGTCCATTCCTTTTGATACACAATTCAACGCGGCGGTTACAACTGTCGGTTCGGAGAACCCCAATACTTTTTTCACTGTCTTGTCCAGCCATGGCTTCAACTGTTCTACGTCACGTCTCGACAAAGACATGGTGACTTTCAAGGATTCCTTCGTTGGTGTCGGGACAAAATATTATTAGTTCGTGATTTTGAAACCACAACGACAGTTTGAAATATAATCGTCGATCTCGGTAAAACCTTGATTTTCACTTAATTTCCGGACGGCGGAGATACACACGGAAAACTACGGAGAGAAGCGTGTCACATACTTTACATGGAGGCAGCCATTTTGAACGTACCAACATCGTTCAGATGTAAACACTACTGTAATCTCCCAGTAACAATCAATTTGATTGGACGAGGGAGAAGACCAATCAGGAGTTTGCTTAAACAAAACCCATAAATTCGGTGTTCTCATAAAAATGTTGAAATATATTATGTTGATAAGGTAATGGAAGTGGTTACGAGTTATAACCCAATAAATATTGATCTTCGACTGACAGTTTAATTGAATTTTATTTAATTTGCAAAGCCAATCACATCACTCGTTATAAAATAAGTTTGCGCATGACTGTTCTAGAACGCGGAAGTGTCAGAGTTGCTGGTACATGGTAAAGTAGTGGTCAAAGGGCGCAATTTACACGTTTAACGACGAATTCGCAATATCGCATTGTTTTTGGAACTCTAAAACATAATCCCGGTTTTATTTACAGTAAGTATATCAGGAGTTGAACACCAGTTGCGTGTTTTATTTAGAATATAGCGCCCTCTATACACAAACATAATTTAAAGTTCTATTCTTTTCTATATTGCGTTCAAACAAACATGTTTTGTCTGAGGTCATGACACAAATCAAGTAGTTACGATGTTTTCCATGTCAGTCTTGGTGAATTTTGACGCTCACCGTCAAAGTATATTTTTCTTATCAGGACGAACAAAAATCCGTCATTCAAATCGGTGTTTCAAATATAATGAGTGTGTGAAAAACATTTTTGTTTGGCCTTGTGTTATAGTGGTTAAAGGGTGGCGGTCGTCGCCGCAGTGCATGTGCGACATTTGTGTTGATAAACATTGATTTTCCCACAATCCAATGCGCTCTTCTGATAGAAATCACGAGTGTAAGTTTTGACCTGGGCGTGACTTGCACTAATTAACCCCGGTGACTCTTTCAATACCTTTCAATACCAAAGCAATTACCTAATTAAAGCTTGGTAACGTCTCAGTTTGTACTCGTTGGTCTTTGCAACAGTCAAAGTCGCCATCTTTGTTTAAACGAGACCCATATCTCACGCATGCATGGTGCAAGGACCACTGCTCTTTAACAGCATGCAGCTGATTTGTAGGAATCTGAAAAACGCGTTTCACAACTTGTCTCTTATTTAGTTTTATGTGTCATTCAAGATGGCGGCCCCCATATAGTAAATATCGTATTTATTTTATTATCACGTGTGCGCTAGCTGACTGTGCTTTACAGTTAGTTACGTCTGTGTGTATGCATGTCTGTCTGTGTGTGTGTGTGTCCGTTAGAAAACCAATCTTCAGATTTCATGAACTTCGTAGTGTGGTACATAAATGCTCTGGAACAATGCACACACCTGATTTGTCTTTGGTTAAAACCAATTAATTAATGAATATTAATTTGCTAAACTGCATAATAATTAGCCTTTTTCAACTTTTCGATTGATATCTCAAAAACTGTAATTGCATTTCAATGAAACTTGGTATATAGATGCCCTGGGACAATGTAAACCCCTGATCAGTTTTTGGTTGAATTCAATGCATATCATTTCCCTAATTTTCATAATAATTACCTAATTTTTTATTTTATCCACCAATGTCTCAAGAATCATTTATCAAATTTCACTGGAACTTGGTACCTAGGTGCTCTGGAATAAGCCATGTACATGTTTATGGTTAAATTTTATGATAACTTTACCTAATTTACATAAATTAACCAATTCATATGTGTTCCACAGTTATTTTGGGTACCACTCATCAAATTTCAATGAAACTGGTACATAGGTGCTTTTGGATAATCCACAGATCTGATTACTTCAGGGTTGAAACCATGCATATTAAATACCTATATTGTGTAAATGAGGCCATCTGACCTCACTGATATGCATAACTAATATCTTTAGCACTGTTACAGACAAATAAGGACATGCAACTAATGCTATATTGCAGACATTGCACAAGAGATGACATCACATGCCCATATATGGTCATATGACCTCATTAAAATGCGTAAATGTAATATCGATCACATGTGGTCATGTAACCTGATTGATATAATACTAATATTCATTATTGTAATTATATCCTTATTTGGATCCTGATAAAGTTGAACAATAAAAAAGAAAAACAAAACATAACATTTAAAAAAATCAACGGGAAAATGAAAAATTATAAATCCATAAATGTATGGCGAATTTATGAAGCAGCTGGCAGTTTTATTTTATTTAAATTTTCATAGTATACAATATGCAGATCTAATTCTGTGTGTGTGTCAACAATAACACATTTCTAACCATTATCCCTGTGTAAACTGAGAACAGACTTCTCAAGGTAGAGTGAACCAAGTGAGTATTGGTCACCAGATCCGGGAGGAGAATAACACACTGGAGAGGAGCACTTGTAGCCAAGGTGTTTATTGCTCAACTGCTAGGCCTGGAACTGAGTCTAAATACTCACGAGATGTTCCATACAATGTATCAATATCATTATGCAAATAACTAAACTAAACGTCATAGCCTCAAATCATTACATTCCTTTCCCCTTATAGAGGATGAAAACTCTGTTTTTAAAAACTTTGAGATACACTTGAAAATACTTTGAACTCAATAATAACAAGTTAAATATATAACCATAAATACCAACAAACAATTCTAAAATATCGCTATGCTGCAGTACCTGGATAAACTTAATATCTAGCACCTGATATTTAGGTGATAGGTGAAGCACCAAGCCGCACACAACACTCATCATTTTTTTTTTTACTCATACTTCACTCAT